GTTCTTGGCTTACCATCACCTCATCTACAAATAAGAATTTCTTCTCTTTTCTAATAGTAGGAGATTCTTTTCTTTCCCTTTTTTTTAATGAAAAGATTTCATTTATTTACTCTTAGAGAGAGGGGAAGGGAGGGAGAAAGAGAGGGAGAGAAACCTAGATGTGTGAGAGAAACATCCATCGGTTGCCTCTTGCACACCCCCAGCTGGGGACCTGGCCCGCAACTCAGGCATGTGCCCTGACTGGGAATCGAACCAGTGAGCCCTCGGTTTGCAGGCCGGCACTCAACCCACTGAGCCACACCAGCCAGGGCTATTTTATGTTCTCGCCTTATTACAGCAGTTAAATACAATCAAATACTGTTGAATAATGGGGATCACGGGGTAGGCTTGGTTTGCATTTTGACAGGACACGGCTTCAGCGCATCACCACTTTGTACGGCTTTGGTGTCCGCTGTTTTCCCTTTTTGGTAGTCTTATCATTTTAGGTAATTTCCTTTTATCATTATATTACTTAAACTTTTTATTTAACAGATATTTTTAACTTTGGAGAGGAAGATATTTCAAGGCAAAACAGGAAACCTGAAAATTGCCAAGCAAAAGACAGACATGCTTGACTTCACAAAAATTAAGAAAAAAATGATTTTGAATGGCAACATCGATTTTTGAATGGCAGAGACTATGCAAAACATAAAGTCAAGGAGAAAAATATTTGCAACCCACTTAGTATCCCTAACATATCAATAAGAGAAAGTAATTTAATAAAATATGATCAATGGATTTAAACAGGTAATGTTTAAAAGAGGACATAAATAATGAATAAATAATAAAGATATGAAGATACACAAATGTTTTAAATTAAAATAACAAAGTATCATTTTTCATCTAGTACACTTGCCAAAATGATAAATACCAATACTATTCATGGCAGGCAAGGATGCAGGAATAAATGAGTACAAAAGCTTTTTATAGAAAACATTTCTGGAATATACTTTGGCAACGACTATTGAAATTTCACACATGCAACTCCAGTTTTGGAAGCCTGCCCCCCGGAAAGAAAGTGTCACATACACGTAAGGCTGTTTCGGGATTGCTTTCGGTTATGAAAAGGCAGAAACAATTTGAATGTCCAGCAATAGGTGAGTAATTAAACAATAATACAGGATATAATGGGATTTTATTCAGCTATTAAAAATAATAAAGTGAAATCTATACCTATGGATCTGGAGGGATGCCAATGATATTCTTTTAGGTGGAGAAAGCAACATGGAGAGGTATGGGTAAGAGCCTATTTCTGTTACTAAAACACAAGCAAAAACACAGCAAAACGACAAATAACCCAATATCAAGTATCTGTCTGCAGGAACAGGGAGAAAGGGTTTTAGAGATGATGGCAGAAGGTTTTAATTTTTCATATACTTTTGAATTAACTTGTTAAAATATATTATGTATGCCTATGCAATTAAAAATTAACAAAGAAAATTTAAAGGAGGAAGAAAAGGAACCTGCCTCGGAAACATCAATACATTTCATTTGATGGTTTTGTGAACTGAAAAGTTCATGGCTTGTATCTATTGATTACCTTTCCTGCTCCAAAAGGGCAGGAGAAAGAGCAGGGTGGGCTGGGAGAGGGGGTGAGCTGGGGGCCGCAGGTGCACCAGCCCGGGGGAGGGGGAGCGGGAGGGAGGGAGGGAGAAGCAGAGATGGAGGAACGGGGCTGGGGGATGTGGGAAAGAGGGCCAGAGGGAGTGTGCGGCTGTCAGGATCAGCCTCCCTGCCAGGGAACAAGGGCTTGGGGGCAGCAGGGGACGCTGGCCCTGGGTCCCTGCAGGCAGCAGCCTGGGACAGACTCTTCACGAAAGCGGGGAGACTGACACCCTCGAGCGTTCCCTGGTGCTGTCCAGTGGGCCCTGACCTAGAGGAGCCTGCAGGCCCTAAGGAAACCCCTCCACAGGTTTTCGAAAACCCTGCGGCAGGTGGGTGGTTCGTTCACTCATCTGGTGAGCATCTCTCTGTGCCTCTCCCATGCGGCATGCTGGGAAATCAGGCTGCGCAGGGTGGCCGTGGCCTTGCCCGCATGCAGCTTTCAGGTGGTGGGGGAGACCCCACCCCGAGGCTGCTTCCACAGCCTTAAACTCCCTTTTGGCTGGATGGGGTGACATGAGGGCCAGGCCCATGAGCCCACTTTGACCCGGGTCACACACTGCAGGTCTGATCCCAGCTACATGCCTGGCACCTGGGCACTGCTGATGGTGGGGCCTGGGATGGGGAGAGAAACTGCTTTAAAAGGTGGAAAAACACCACCTGGTTCCCCAGCTGGCAGTGGTCGGGAGAGGCCTGGTGACATCCCTGTGCCACGCTCCCAAGGCCACTCCCTGGGTCCCGTCTGCTGCCAGGACCCTGGCAGCCTCCAGGAGACCAGCCTGAGAAGGAATCAGATGGAAGCTGCAGCCCCTGGAAGCTTGGGGGTGCTTCTCAGCGGCAGACATGCTCGAGTCCTTCCAGCCACAGACTTGACCTTGAAGCCATGTGAACCACAGAAGGGCTAGTATGGGGCTAACCTCATAGAAGGTCCTGCCCTTGCCCCCAGACTCAGGGAGGACCTCCTGTAAGGACGGTTTCAGCTGGCCCAGGCCTGTGGTCTCCCACGAGTGGCTGGCAGCCACCCGAGAGCCTCTGTGAGTGCACAGCAAGGTCTGGGACGGCCAGGGGACCCAAGTGCAACCAGAAAGCACAGATCCTGGCTTCTGCACAGGCTCCTTGGAGCGGACAAACACCGCCGCCCAGGATCGGGCCAAGAAGCAGGTGAGGAAGAGTCAGCCTGTTGGTGGCTCTCTGGAGCCCTTCCTCGCAAACCTCTGACACTTCGGCTTCTGGGGCACAAAACCTCTCTGCCTTCCTCCTGCCGCTCCCGCCACCAGCTCCCCAGCCTGCCCTCAGGGTCCCGCTGTCCCTGGGTGACCCCTGTAGGCCACCTATTGAGCAGAAGGGCCACCTCCTTCAGCTCAGCACTAACATGTGGGTCATCATGGGGCTGCGATGTGCCTGGCACGGAACTCTGGGGGGCAGGGGGCTCCCAACCTGGTGTGCAGAGGGAGACTGAGGTCACACAAAGGGCCTCCACACAGCCTGGCCTCACTGCAAACTTGGTTAATAAATGGTGCCCACTCTGAGTGTGTGGGTTCCTGGCCTCCTCATCCACATAATTAAAAGGCCTCTTGTGTCTGTGTGGCTGGGGAGGAGCCGCACTGTGCATACACGTGTGTGCATGCATGTGTATGCGTGTGCCATGCTGATGCTGGAGCAGAAAGGGCAGGGAGCGCCCCTCTGGGTGGAGTGGTGGGCCTCCCCTCCTCAACCCACTGTAAGCCACATTCTAACCCCAACAGTGTCCACCAGCTGGTTCCCACTGCGGTGTCTCTTCCCTCACTCTGAGGGGCACTGACTCTCCCTGGCAGGCCTGGGAGTGGGGAGATCCTGGCACCAAGAGTGGAAACGGGAAAGAAGGGAAGAGGGAGCCACTTCTCCAACAAATTCCCCCAGGCCCCCTCCAAGGCCGGCCAGCCCCAGCACCCTGCCCCGGCCAGCCCCAGCTGGGCCTGGTCCCTGCAAGGGCCAGCGATGGCAGGGAAGGTGAACTCATGGGAATCAGAAGTGCAGACAGAGTCCTGAAGAATTAGCAGAGACGGCCGGCTGCAGAAGAGCCGAGTGATGGCCAGGAAAAGGTGTCTGGGGAACAGACGCCAAGCTGTTAACTGCTGGTTATGCTCGGAAGGGCCGACCTTTAGGGAATTTTTACCAGCTAAATGATAGCTTCTGATAACCTTCACAATTTTATAATAAACACGCTGTACTTCTGTAAGAAAAAAAAAAACAACAGCCCAAATGGTACAAAGGTAGTTAGCTGCCAGGTCAGAATCCAAAGACGGAGACTTGAGAGCCCCCTGAAGCGGCTGCACGTCTACTGTCTTTGGTTGAGAAACCTGAGACAACCCCTGGCATCGGGAGGAGCCCCTCATCTCTCCGGCTTCTACCCATTTAGGACCCTTGGTCCGTGAGTTTTGTGCTGAAACTGAGGCCCTTCGGGGCAGAAGGAGCCAGAGCCCAGAGGGCAGGACACGGCCTCTGGGTCCCAGCCCTGCCACACACTAGCGAGTCCTTCCTTCCTCTGGGCCTCAGGCTGCTCGTGTCTAACACGGGGCTGCCGAACACCGGCCCGCTCGCTTGTGGAGCCTGCTGCGAGGCCCAGAGCTTTGGAAATAAAACCTCGAACATGAAAGTATCTTCCAAGCTGTATAGAGACACCTGCCACGCCAGGTACTTTTATATATATACACCAGGTTTTGCTGTGCAGAATGCACACCTTTTTGCTCAAATTTTTGAGGGAAAAATAAGGATGCACATTACACGTGGGTACGCCAATGGCACACCATTGGTATAAGAACCCCGTGTATCGTGCGCACAACTGTGGGTGCACATTATACAGGGCAAAATATGGTCATTGCCTGTGGGTTGGGGCTCCCTTTCTGATGGTGGCCCCCTGGGTGCAGCCACCACAAATACCAAGGGGCCCTGGGCACAAGGTCACTTTCCTCACTAGGACCCGGAAAGCCCAGAGTCTCCCCTTATTGAGACCCAAGACAAGTGCTAAGAAGAGATGATGCCGGCCTGCCTTACAAAGACGCACTTTCATACTTGGCAAAAAACCTCAGCTGACATCACATTTCTGCAAAGATCTATAACACTGCTCTCGGCATTCTCCACCCTCCAGTTAGTGCTTGTGTATGGGATGGCCCCTGCAGGCTGCAAGCAATCACGGTGCTGAGGTCCATCCAGCCACCCATGGGGGTGCCGGTGGCGAGTCGAGGGCACACAGGAGGATGGAACACTGGTATGAGCCACGTGGAGACTGTGGTGGCCACTGGCCGGGTGTCCATTGCACTGTCTGGCTGACGGCCCGGACGTCAGCTGCCATCACGACAGAGGGGGCAAACAGGACCTACCTCTCCCACGGGCCCACGTGTAGACTCGACTGGTCTCCGTGCTTCTGGGCTCTTGCTCCGCTGGCTCCACAGGCAAAGGTCGTAAGTGGGGGTCATCGGCCCGGCCGGGGGTCTTCAGGGGCAGGATGTACTTGGGCAGCCCTTTGTAGAACCAGGCCCCTGACCTCTTCCAGACCTGAGCAGGGGGAGACAGCCGCTCAGAGCTCGGAATGCAGAGCTGTGCCTCGCACCGCGCACCCACGCAGGCCCGCCCCGCCTTCCCCTCCTGGTGCAAGGCTGGACAGTGCTCAGTAGATGCCACCTGCAGCCTCCTGCCTGCCCCTCCCCCCCGGGACTCTGGAGGCTGGAGGAGGAGGCTGGCCGGGCCCCACACAGCACTGGAAGCTGTCAGGAGAGTGACTCAGAGGAGACAACCCACAGCGGGTGCAGGGAGGGCTGGAGTCCCAGAGAAGGCCGCAGAGCGGAATCAGCAGTGACCCTGACAAGGGCCCGAACGCAACGCCTACTTCGCACGACACCCAGGGCCGCTCCCCGCCTCTCCGGGAAGGACACACACCTGTGGTCTCTAATGAGAGTGGGAATATGTGAAGGAACGACTCGACCTTTCCAGGGAAGAGGAAGCCTTGGCGGTGTGAGTCGTGGATCTGCCACCCAGAGCTGAGAGCTGGGGCCACATCCTGACCCTCAGTGTCAGCACCTGCAGGCGGACGTGGGAACCGTCCGTCTCACAAGGCGGCTGTAGGGATCAGACTCGCAGAGCAATGTTGGCCCACGGCCCAGTGCGGGCACAGAGCAGCCACTCGACAGACCGGATGCTCACGGCTGCCGCTGTCCCCCTCGGCCTCTCACCCGACACACGGGGACAACTTCACCGCCTGTGGACCGAGCCCGCTGCTCGACGGGGGGAAGGGGAACTCAGAAGGCCAGGTCTGCCCCATTCTCTCCAGGACAGTGTCCCCACTCCCCCAGCTTCCTCTGTGCCTCCTCGGTGCTGCTGCTGCGGCTGCTGCCAGGGGCGGCTCAAAACCAGACAAAAGGGAAACAAAGGCCCCGATGACACACGCTGGGAAGCACCAGGTGGGGCCCAGCTCTGTTGCTGCGGGAATGCGCTCGGGGTCCCCCAACACGGTGGGAGGACACGCGACACTTCCCACGGGGAACCGCCTGGCAAGCGTTCCTCGAGCAACTCGGCCCCCGTCGTGGGCGTGCGTAGACCTGCGTGTCGCCGTGCAGCACAGACCGGTCGCTCTCAGAGTGACTGCCGCTCTGCTCCCCGCGGCCGGCAGTCCCCGCTTTACGCCCCAGAGTGCCCGGCGCCGGGCCCGAGGCCAACCCCGGCCCCGGCGGGAGTCGTTCATCCCTCCCAGCTCCCCTCTGCGGAAGGGCCGTCTGGAGGGGTGCAGGCTGCGTGGAGCCCCCTTGGGAGCCCCCTTGCTGAGTCTCTCACAGCCCTCCCACCATACTAACTATCTCTCTGAATTGGTAACACACGCACAGGATCCAAAATTCACAAAGTACACAATTAAAAAGTCTCCTTCCCCGTTCCCAGAGGCATCTGGTTCAACAGTCTTTGAGGAGGTGCTTTATTATCCCCACTTTCCAGATGGAGAAACTGAGGCTCTGAAACATGAAGCCACTTTCCCCAGGCCCACCCACCACTCCACACCGGATGCCGCAGAGTCTCAACCCAAACGTTTACAGATCCGAAGTAGCAGCTCACTGAGTTGTGGCTGAGCGGTGAATCAGTCCCCAATGGGTTCTCCTTGTGGACTCTAAGCGTCCTGCAGAGTGGACGCCTGCAGGAGAGGGAAGGGCCACACAGCGGGAGAGAACTACTGTAAGTAGCAGTTGCCCGGCCACCCTGTCCCTAGGAGCTGTTGCGTAGCTCCTGAGAACAGGGGCCCTACCCAGAGGTGATGGGGCTCACCCTGCCTCCTTCTGCTAAGCAAAGGCTCACTCATCCACTCACCCGTCAGCATCAGCGTGAGTGCAGGCTTTGCCAGCCCTCCCCTGAGCACGCTGGCCTCCTGCCCCCAGCATGGGCTGGGCTTCCTGGGGGGCGGCAGGGACCACATGAGGCAAGCCCCTGAGAGCCACGTGTGACCGGCGGGGCCGGGGTTGGCTGTGGACCCCGCACCACACTGACTCCCCACCCCTGCCATGGAAACGGTTCCTCTTTTTCCTTCCTGAGGTGAGACATACATACGTAAGTGATAAAATCAGGACAATAACAAAGAAGTAAAAGGGAGAAACTTTAGGTCACTCATAACATTACCACACAGATGGGGGCCTGTTTAACACGATGCTGTGAATTTTCTGGGCATAGATGCATTTTTGTTTTAAAGAAGAACAGCATCATGTAGACACCAACTCATTGTCACTGGGGGGCCACATCAGCCTCGAGGTTGCCTTCAAGGGGCCGAGTGTCATTTTAGGATTGTGTAAATGTAACCACCCCTTAACTAGGGGCAAGGAGCTTGGCACTGCCGCCGGGCAGAAACGAGGTGCCGGGCCGGACAGAACAGGGTGGAGGGCCGGGTTCGTCTGGCGGGCCCCGTGTTGCCACCTGTGCTGCGGAGGCAAATGGTTTCTGCCCCCACTTAGCTCTGCATCCGAGCAGCTCTCCTGTGCTCATCGGTAACGGTCTCCAGCCTCACGCTCTCATGGCTCCGTGGTTTGGATCACGCTTAATTAAACTGGTCCCATGCTGAGGGACAGTCACACTGCTGCCCATTTTTCACTCTATCAGCAGCGCTGCGGCCACCACTTTGCACACGCGTCATCAGGCGGGGGTCCGTCATCGCCTGAGGAAACATTCTGGGGGTGGAATTGCCAGGACAAGGGACATGTGCACGTTTAGATGGTGATGTATTTTCTCCCCCAGAGGAGAAAGTCGAATCCCCATTGGGGTGCTAAGTGCCTGCTGCACTGTACTTCCTGGTGGGACCCGGGGTCTGGTCTGGGGGGCCTGCTCCAGGGCAACACCCATGGGGTGGTGGGCTTGGGGGTGGCCTTGTCAGGCCCTGAGGTCCCCAGGGTGAGGTGCTGCAGGGGCAGGGTGGGGACCCCACTGCCACCCCTGGGGCACACTCCCCTTGTGCCTTGCCAGAGTGGATGGGACAACCCTGAGGGAGACTCAGAGATGAGGCTCACTCTTCATTCTTGTGTGGCTTTCATCAGGAGGGACCAAAACACACGGCTGAGCAGCGTCTGGGGAGGCCGCCGGGCCAAGCACACCGTGAGCGCTCAGAGAGCCTGCGGGTCACTGCCTCTGAGCGTTTCCTGCGGAGCTGGGACTGTCACACCAGCTCGTGAGTGTGCGTGCTTCTTCTTTGCCTTCAATTAAAAAATGTTCATGTGTGCCCTGGCTGGTGTGGCTCAGTGGGTTGGGCATCATCCGTAAAGCAAAAGGTCGCCAGTTCGATCCCTCATCCGAGCACATGCCTGGGTTGTGGGTTCGATCCCCAGTCAGAGTGTGTGCAAGAGGCAGCCAATCTATGTTCCCCTCCCTCTCTCTCTCCCTTCCTTCTCCTCTCTCTAAAAATAACTTTTAAAAATACGTTCAATTGTGTTGAAATACACATAACATGAAATTTACCATCTTCATCATTTCTCAATGCGCAGTTCAGTAGTGTAAAGTACATTCACGTTGTTGAGTAGCCCATCTTCAGAAGTCTTTTTATCTTATAAAACTTAAATTCCTGCTCATTAAACAACTCCCATTCCCCGCTCCCCACAGCCCCTGGGACCACCCTTCTACTTTCTGTCTCTGTGAATGTGACTGCCCTTGTTTCCGCACATGAGTGGAATCGTACAGTATCTGTCTTTCTGACACATATACAGTATGTGGCTTCTTTCACTTAGCACAGTGTTCTCCAGGTTTATCCATGTTGCATCATGTATCAGAATTTTTCCTTCCTCTTTCAGACTGAATAATATTCCCTTGCCTGTTGTATCACATTTCGTTTATCCATTCATGCGACACTTGGGCAGCTTCCACCTTTGGTCTGGTCCTTCCATGTTTATCTGTCTGTCCCTCTAGGGCCTCCCAGCCGGGAGGGAGGGTCAGGGCGCTCTGCTCACCGCTGTGCCTTCGAGCTCCCCGCACAGTCCTGACGCAGCAGGTGCTCCGTGAACACGGCTGAACGGCACACTGGCTGTGTGGGGTGTTCCCTGGAACGTGTCCTGATCCATAACGTCCGCCGCCTTCCTGGGGAAGTGGCCTGAGGGCTTCACCCAAGTGCGTGTAATTAATCAAATGGATTTACTGTCTCAGATTAAAAGAAGGATAAAGAGGAAGTACCCAGCCGGGCATGCCAGTGCAGAGCAAGCTCCAGTGAACCTCCCTGACCATGAACTCCACAGCACGAGGCAGCTGCATGCTCCCAGTCCCTCTTCCAGCACCAGTGCGACCCACAGTCCCCGCTGCCCCGGCCCAACCTGGTACCTTTCAGTGGGGGGGGGGGCACACCATCAGTCTCACCTCTGGTTGCAACGACCCATCTTCAACCCACACCTCCCCCCTACTTAAAAAACACTGATCAGCCAAGTGGTTTTGGAAAACACGATAAAGAGAACAGGATTTAAACTATTAGGTTGAATTGCATGAAACTGCTGATATTCAATGTTTTTAATGCTATTCAACCACTTTTGACCTATAAGCCCCCTGTCAATTTCATACAATTTGCCCCGATATTTACGCTCAGCAGAGGCAATGCCCCCAGGGGTCTGCCAGGCCTGCATTGTGTCCCCAGGGCCCAGGGGACTGGTCAGTTATTCTCTGAGTCCCTGTAATGGGGCCTGGGCCCTGTCTGCTTCCTTCGGGTTAGCGCTGTGTCCAGGGGAGGGCCTGATGCCATTGCCGCGGCAGAGACCTGACCAGGCCAGACTGGCCAGCGATCCTGCACCAGCTCGAGGAGCGGACGCAGGTGCACCACCTGGTACGGAGGGCACACCTGGGTGGAGGTGCTAAAGCACACTGTCGGTGTTTTGGGGAACGCCTGCCCCACAGAGAGCAGGACTGGTGAGGCGAGGAGTGAGAGATCCCAGCTGGGCCGAGTTCCGAGCAGCCACTTCTCTCCCCTAGGTGCCAATCTGAGCGCACCCCTGGCCTTCTCTGCCTCGATGCCCACCCCTGCCCTACAAAATGCACAGCAGCAGCTTTTAATCACGTGG